AGATTGAGTGGGGGAAGGTGATGACTGAGGGAGCAGTCTGCTGGAGGGGATAGGATAAAGTGCCTATGTAGAAGTATTGACCTTGAGCAGAAGGACTTTTTTATCAGAGACTAGAGGAAAGGAGGAAAGTATGGGGGATGAAGTCAAGTAGTTTTGAGAAGAAGAGAAGAGGAGAAAAGGAACTCCTGTATAGCTCAACTGGCTGGCTTCAACCTCCTCAGTAATATAAGAGGAGAGGTACTCAGGTGAGAGGGGAAAGTGGTGGGGAGTTGGGGTAGTGGAAAGCTTAAGAAAAGAAAAGAAGGTTTAAGATAGACTCTCAAGGAGTTGGAATAGGAAAACAATTAGGAAGAACAGGATTGCTTTGCTTTAGAGTGAGATAACCCAACTGAAGTTCAGTCACATAAACTGATATGGTACTCAGTCAATTCAGATAACATGGCTTCTTCCAGCTCTGGACAGCAACACCCAAGTATAAGCAGAGGAGGCACATGGTAGGAGCAATCTAGGGTTGGTGTTTGGCAAAGGATGAACAGCAAGACTAAACAGCAGGTGAAATGCCAGGCCTATAGTCTGGGAACAAGAAATATACAGAAGTTTAGAGGTCAAGGCAAAAGAGTGGGTCAAAACCCAGGCAAACAGTCAAGAGTCAAAGAACATGAAGAAGACAAGGTTTAGTACAGCAACACCTATGAGTGACTGAGGTCCCCAGGTGTGACTAGTCACCAGAGCTATATAAATTCCTGATCTTTGCCCCAAACCCTCTCCTCTTATATGCATTAATACTTATATATTTACATACTGAGTTTGGTGGACACCACCATCCTCCCAGTCACTCAAGCTGGAAACCTTGGGGCTACCAGTCTAGACTCTTTTCTCTCCATTTAAGCCACAAAGTTATTCTGTTCCCAAGATGAGCTGATTCTAATACTATAACATCTGTCATATTCATCTCCTTTTTTTCACTCATATTGTCAATGCACAGGTACTGGTCTTTATCATCATCTCTGACCTAAACTATTACAGTAATCTCCCTGAATTCAGTCTAATCCACCTACCACATTTCTGCTAAGATAATCCTACTAACGTACAAATTCAACTGTCTTACTCCCCCTGCTTATAAACTGTCAATGATTCCTTACTCAACCAGGAAAAAATACAAACTCTTCCTGGCATTTAAGGCCCTGTACACCATATCAAGGGGCAGTGAGGTAGACCGGTGGATAACTGCTGGGCCCAGAATCAGGATGATCCTATTTCACCTCTGTATCCCCTGTGCCTAGCTCAGTACCTTGTACATAGTAGGAACTTACTGAATATCTGGTGCATCGAACTGAAACAAACATACTCCTACTCATACTAGAGAAAATAGATGGAAAATACCACTGTCTTCCCACTTCCCATTTGAATACAGAATATACACCAAAGGGGACCACAAGAGAGATGTCCCAGGGACCTTTCTTTTAAGATTCCACAAAATGGGATATAGTTTCTTTCCAATTCCCTAAGACATAAGGGTTTGGGGGCAGATATTGCTGGAGAGATCATTAATTTCTATTCATATCACAATTCTGAGAGACCTCAAGAGCCTCTGACTGGATATGCTCCTCAAGGATACTGTCTTGTGTAAGCCCTAGTACCAGGAATGAAGCTGTGTTGAACAAGATCAGTCATTACTCTCCTTGGGCCTGGACAATAGGAAACTACTTCTAGCAGTCACAATTGATTAAATGACTCCTACAGTACCTTCTAGTTTTGGAATTTTATTACTCAGTATTGAACTATTGAATCAACCTACTATGATTCTTGCAAGGACTTGGCATGTCTACCAAAGGTTTTTTAATGTAGACCTACCAAATCTTTAATTAATCTGATCTGAGAAGGGATAGAGGAGTTCTGCGATATTTTATCTGACATCTTTCCAACCACAGACAAGGATGGTTGCTGGGTAGCCTTTCCTTCTTTCAGAACAGATAATTAAACAGTTTAGTGCATATGTGACTGAGCAGTGGGATAGACATTGAAGAGTGTTGCATTTTAATCCCAGTTCTGCCTATGTGGTTAAACCCCTCAACCTCCTATTTTCTCATCTCCAAAAAACAACAGGACTAGACTGCCAATGCTTCTGCACCTGACAGTAATGGATTCAGTGGAAACACAGGTCATCAGGATAATAAACAGGTTCCAAGTACTGTGCCTGAAACTCAAATCCCCTTCATGGAGAGCACTACCACAGATATCTCTAAGTTCTCAGCTTGCAACTAGAAAAATGAAAGGAAAAAGAAAACTAGGCTAGCAAATTTTAAATAATTAAAATGTGGACCTGTCCCAGGATTGCTATAAGATTGTGATGTCTGATGACTTCATCTTCCTTTGCTCCCATTCTCTTTTGGTCAGTGATGTTCACCCTATGATCTCCAATACTTCACCACAGTCGAACTGTCTACCTCCTTGGCGTACATTCAGCTATAAAACTGAGCAACTTGAGCTGATGTGACAAACTGCCATAAGGGAAAGAAATCATAGCAGGATATGCAGCAATTTCTGATGAATCTTTTAAGGCATCCAACTCAGAAAAGGAAATTGAAACAAAGATTGTTCCCTAGCATTATCCCTGTGAAGTTTTATATCTGAGGCATGATTGTTTATTCCGTTTAATGTCAGAGAACATTCTATTTTGTGAACAACTATTCATGAAAAGCAATGAAGAAAGAAATGATCTAATTAGAGTAGATAGAATTTCGTCATCGAATATTCATATGACTTAAAGCAGGACCCTTCTCACAGGCTTTTCTAGTAATAGGAATAAGGACTAGACCTATGATTTAATTGGCCCAGGAACTCTTGGATGAGGAAACAGCCTCCAGTAATGCAAGTTGGCATCTCTGCAATTTACAGGCTTAGAAAATTGTCTAGAAAACTGAGAGGTTAAGTGATTTGCCCAGGGTCACACAGCCAATGTGTGTCAGAGGTTGAAGCTAGAGCTTCAGACTCTGAGGCCAGCATCTCAATCTATCATATTTCACTGCCTCTAACTTTCACAGTAAAAGGAAAGAAAAATTTCTCTCTTCTTTCTTATCCCATAAAAAGAAAAAAAAATACATATAAAATGTGTAGATTGGGACATCGAACATAGAATGTACCCTCAAAGTGTCTATTGAAAATCAATGGGACCATCATTTTAGTTTCATACGGCTTAGACAAACAATTCTAGAAATGTCCTAGAAGCTTTAGTTAACTGAAAGTTAGATAGGAAATTCTTAATTTCTGATCTAGTCTCTGAAAATAGGTCAACTGGATTTCAGAATTTTTTTTTTTTATATTGCTTTTTGGTGAGGCAATTGGAGTTAAGTGACTTGCCCAGGCTCATACAGCTAGTGTCAAGTGTGTGAGGCCAGATTTGAACTCAGGTCCTCCTGACTCCAAGGACAGAGTTCTATCCACTGCGCCACGTAGCTGCCCCTGGATTTCAGAAAATTCTTGCAAAAAATGTGTCTCATCTACAGTGAACAGGATCACAAGATAAAAAGATAGATGGGAAGATATATGAAGATGGAATTTTATTTTAGGCATATTGGTAACAAATGTCTTACTGACCGTCATGCTCTGAAGGGAGAAATTGAAAACAGACAGGCTGATGAGTTAGCTGGTATTCAAGAAAAACTCAAACTCCTTTAAAACTAGTTTCTCTTCATGGAAAATGCATAAAATAGGGAAGTAAATGTCATTTAAATGGTTTTGTAAGAAATACTTAAGCAAGAAACAATATAGAACAGTCATTTTCTTCTTTGCCATCCCTACCAGTTCCTACAATTAGCTCATACACAATGTACCACTATTCCCCATGAAAACTAACAAACAAAATAAATACCTGTTCAATAGTATTCCCTTGCCCAGAGCACTGTCCTTTTACATATGTAATCAACTCTAGACCCTCAACTGAGAACAGTGTGCAATAAACCAACACAGGAAGTTTCTGACACTCTCTTAAACATTTTAGTACTCAAGAAAGACTTGGGTAACTGGAAAGTAACTATTATTCAAAGAATTGAATGTATTCTGTAGCTTGTAATAAGTTCTCATGATTGTCAAATATTAAAAAAAATGCAAAATATTATCATCTTATTATTTGAATTAGCCCAGAACCTCAAGCATATCATTTGTATTTGGCATTAGAATACAATACAATTGGGTAGCCTTTCCTTCTTTCAGAACAGATAATTAAACAGTTTTTAGTGCATATGTGGCTGAGCAGTAGGATAGACATTGAAGAGTCTTGCATTTTAATCCCAGTTCTGCCTATGTGGCTAAACCCCTCAACCTCCTATTTTCTCATCTCCCAAAAACAAAAGGACTAGACTGCCAACGCTTCTGCATCTGACAGTAAAGGATTCAGTGGAAACACAGGTCATCAGGATAATAAACAGGTTCCAAGTACTGTGCCTGGAACTCAAATGCCCTTCATGGAGAGCACTACCACAGATCTCTGTAAGTTCTCAGCTTGCAACTAGAGAAAATGAAAGGAAAAAGAAAACTAGGCTAGCAAATTTTAAATAATTAAAATGTGGACCTGCCCAAGGATTGCCCCCAATACAATCCCAATTAGGGTTGGTTTGTATGGGTTGGGGAAATGAGGAAGGAAGTGGTCCAGAAATGTATTGAGTGGGAAAAGAAAAAAAAAATTAGGTTTAAAAATTTCCCAAGCAACGTCCACACATAGATATTCAAGAGTTCCCTCCAAATGTCTCCAATGAATCAGTGAGTGAATCTTTGAGACTATGTTGGTAGCTAGAGCCTTCTTTTCAGAAGGGGTCAGCAGGGAATGTCTGTATATGGCACAATTACCAAATAGCTAATTTAGTGAATGCTCCTAAAGATGCAGATGATGAGACACACACAATTAATTACTCAATTAACAGAGGACTGTGAATTTGGGATTGTAATTTTAAAAATATCACCAGTAGCTATCTTAATAGAGAAACACCATATTTAAGACTTACCATAGGCTGTCATCACACCAACATAGGGCCCATCTACCACGTTCCTATTTTCTTCTGCCAGAGCCTTGATGTACCTTTTGCTGAGGTCCAATATTTGTTCACGAAGCATTGAGCTGCTTTCATGTTGAGTTCGTTGCTGGATGGTAAAATGCAGAAGCATCATACCCCAAATGAAGCCAAAAGTCACCAGGAAAAAGCCAAGTTTCTGAGAGGATAACTTCCATGGAGCAAAGAAAGCCATGGCTCCCAAGGAGCTGCTTCTTTCTTTGGGTTGGATCTTAAAGCACCAAAGGGAGATGCGAATCCATGGTGTTGGTCTCAAAAAGGACAGGCTGTCTCACTCAGGCTCCTGTGTCAGTTGGTGTCCTTCTTTCACTTCCATCCTGCTGTCAGAAGGGAGAAAAAAAAATCGGTATAGTGCAGCTAACCACAAAGAACAGACAATTCTCAGTAAACGGCACCAGGTTTCCACTTTGGTGGCTATACAATGTGAACTCTGAAAAAAGAAATGCTTACTTAAATATTTTGCATTATGTTGAGGATTTGACTAAAGTGGGAGGGAAGATTTGGCAAGGTGATAAGCCGTACAAATATAAAAGGGGAAGATGTGTCTGCATGTTTGAATATGTGTATTAACAGGTGTAATAGAACTTTACAAGTCAGGACTAAGTTTGAAACAGGAAACTTATTTTAAAATGAGTGAAGTTTCAATGGGAAGAGAGATCGCCGGATAACAGCAAACGGGTGACAGCAAACACCTCAGGGAGTTGGGGGGGGGGGGGAGGGGAATCCTCATCCTGGAATACCCCATACCACCCCCTTCTGCATTTCCTGTAACTGTTGCTTGAATTTCCAGTCAAAAAACAAAACCAAACACACACACACACACACACACACACACACACACGCACACACCAGAGCAAAGGGTTATTTGTATAGGTGATAATGAAACTGGGATTCCTCCCATGGGGAGTGGTTATGAGAGAGGTAGAAGAATGGCATTTCATTCAATCCAAATCCAGGCAAATGTAGACTTTTCCTAGGAATATTCAGAAGACAAGATGATTCCTGGAGGGCCTCTTTCCAAAGCATGATTACCAAATGGTTATATCCAGGAACACTGAGTTCCTTTTAATTTTCTCCCAATAAATTGAAAAGTGTCAGTGGTATCTCACTCTTCACTTCTACATTTTAACACATTTTCAAATGAAACACATTCTTTCCCCGTTAGTGTTGAAATTATGTCATACAAATTATGAAGTCCTGAAATAAGACTCATGTCTGGCCTTAAAGTGGCATCTCTTCTTTGCATTTTCATTTTTGTCTTTGTATCCACAGCACCTAACACAGTGTCAGGTACATAGCAGGTAATTAATAAATGTTTGTGTTTTGATTCTATGTAGAAATGACAAACTTCAATACAAACCAACTATACCAAATTTAACAAACAGGAAGGCCTGACAGGATAGAGACCCCTGAGGATCTGTAGACCAAGCATGAATGGTTACCATAATAAGTAATTTACTATCTTAACATGCAAAATAGGGAGGTGATTAAAATCTCCTAAGGATAAAGTACAGGCAGGGTAACCTAGCTACAGCAGTTAAGATCTGGGTTTAAATTCCTGGGCTGATATTTACTAGCTAAGTGAACATGGGCAAGCCGTTTAACTTCTCTGAACTTAATGAAACTCTCTAAGACTATAAATTATACATGGATCACCATTTGCATCTGTGGAAGATTGCACACAGAGTCAAATACTTTTAACTTAAGGATAAGATGCCATACTGTGAATTCTAGAAGCTTCCTAGGACATGACATTCCTTCATAATACTGCATCAGCAGAGGAGGTGTAGATGGGCTACAGTTTAATCAAAGAACTACCTATAATGATAACAACAACTTACACATAAAGTGCATTGTAGGTTTATAACAGAGAACACAGATTATGAGGACAAACCTCAAGTGTGGTCATAATCATTCCTAATAAGCAAAAGGCAAATGCAATCAAGGCACCTGATTTGACTAAACTTCAGGCTGACCACAGCCTTTCACTTAGCATTAGAAAATTTACCAACTCCCTCAATACTGCCCTTCCCCAATAATTTGGTACCAACTTACCTTTTAGACTTCATCTTCCACTGTTCTATCACATAAAACCTTTGTTCCATTCCTCGTCTCCCATTTTCTTTACCTTAAAACCCCTTGACATCATCCCCCAATCTCTGACAGTGAGATAGTCCTTTTCCTTGCCCAGGCCTTGAAGAAAGAGAGAGATTCCATAAAACAAAAGTGAGGAAAGAAACTGAACCTAGGCATGAGGGAAAGGCATGGTGATGAGAGATGAAGCATCATGGAGGAGGAATAGAAAAATAAGACCAGTCTGGCTATATGGTAAAGTGACATAGTGCAATGCATAATGAGGTTGGAAAAGTTGGCTGTGGTCAGGTTGTAAATGGCCTTAAAACTCACACAATGGAGTTTATTTTTGTTCCTAGAGGCCAAAGGGAACCAGTGGAGATGATTGAGTAGCAAAATGGTATCGTAGCTCAATCTGGACTTAAGAAAATGCATTTTGGTACAATATGGAGAATGGACTGGAATGGGAGGCACCTAAGGCAGGAAGATGAATTAGGAGGTCATTGTGATAATCTAGGTGAAAGATAATGAAGGGCTGAACTAAGATAATAGCAGATAGGAGCAGAAAGAAGGGGCAAGATCCTAGAGATTTTCTGGAGGCAGATGGTAAAATCTGGCAACTAATTGGATACACATGACAATGAATGAGTTCAGTGTAATGCCAAGGTTAAAAACCCAAGAAACTGAAAGTATGATTGTACCTTCAAAGAAAACAGGGAATTTTGGAAGAGGAGTAGATTTTGGGGGAAATATAATGAACACAGTTTTGGACATATTGAGTTTGAGATATCTCTGGGACATCTAGCTTGAAATGTAGAATAGGCAATTGGTGATGCTGGTTGAATCTCAGTGGAAAGCCTGGGCCTGGATAGATAGATGCGGTAGTCATATGCAAAATTAAAACCATGGGAGCTAATGAGGGAAAGACTGAAGAGAATGAAGAAAAGAGGGCCCAGAACAAAACCTGAAGTAAAACTCACTTATCATAATGGGGATGACATGCCAGCAAAGGAGATAGAAAAGGGGGGATCAGATAGGTAAGAAAGACAATCAGGAGAGAGCGGTACCATGAAAACCCTGAGAGGAGACATTATACAGAAGGAGATGGTGGTCAATACTGCAAATGAAGCTGATGGTCTGTTGATAACTTTAGAGGAACCAGTCTCATTTGAGTAAAGAAGTCAGAAAACAGATTGCACTACATACAGGGAGCATGTAGTTAGCTTCTGAGGGAGTCTGGCTGAGAAAGGAACGAGAGATATAGGATGACAGCTTCACATGATGGTCAGGTCTACTGAAATTTGTTTATTTGTTTTAAAGATGGATGGTGGATGAGAGGATGTTTGAAGGGGGGGAAGGAATCGGTAGATGGGGAAATGGTGAAGATCTGAGAGAGGGTGGGGAAGATCGAGGGTACAAATTGCTAGAGAAGACACGAAGGGAACGATATTATTCCTACTCCTGTTTGTATGTTAGTTTGTTGGAAAAACTGCCAAGGGACTTATCTCATGTTAAATTACTCTAGCATACACATAATTGTTTGTTGGTATAGAGTAGTTAGTTGATATAGAGTTCTCTATTTCAAACAGAAAAAAAAAAAAAGGATACTGAATCATACAAAGGATCCCTGGTTGAATGACTTAGAAAACCACATATTGCCATTATGTGCATTCTGCTGTGGGCAGCTAGGTGGCATAAAGCACTAGGCCTAGAGTCAGGAAGACCCGAGTTCAAATCCGGTCTCAGACACTTACAAGCTTTATGACTCTGGGCAAGTCATTTAACCCCATTTGCCTCAGTTTCCTCATCTGTAAAATGGGCTGGAGTAGGAAATGGTAAACCACAGCAGTATTTTTGCCAAGAAAACCCGAAATTGGGGCATCTAGGTGGCGCAGTGGAAAGAGCACCGGCCCTGAAGTCAGGAGGACCTGCGTTCAAATCCGACCTCAGACCAAACACTTGACACTTACTAGCTGTGTGACCCTGGGCAAGTCACTTAACCCCAGTTGCCTTTAAAAAAAAAAAAAGACCAAAAAAAAAAAAAAAGAAAACCTGAAATGGGGTCATGAAGAATCAAACACGACTGAACAACAGCAACAAAATGTTCTACTGTATTTTATTTATTTTGTGAAACATTCCAAATTACATTTTAATCTAGTTCTGGCCCACTTGTTTGACACCTCTGAAGTATAGAATATGAGCTCAAAGCATAAGCCTGAGAAATGAGTAGTCTGACTTTCTGCAGACACAGAAGGATGAGATTTCTTTCTTAAAACAATAGAAACTATTACATAAACGCAAGGCAGTTAGACAAGAGCAGGGTTCAGTGAACAGAGCACTCTAACTGGAGTCAGGAAGTGCCAAGTTCAAATCTTGTCTGAGGCACTTACTAGCTGTTCCTGGGCAAGTCACTTAATCTCTGACTGCCTCAATTTCCTCATCTGTAAAATAGGGATAATAATAATAGCATCTACCTCCTAAGGTTATTGTGAGGATAAAATGTGTATTTGTAAAGCAGTTTGCAAACCTTAGATTGCTGTATAAATTCTTCCTACTATTACCATCTCCACACACTCAGATACAGTAATGTCAGAAACTATCTCAGTTTTTATCAGGAATATGAAGTAATAGGACCACGCCCCCAAAGGAAAAAAGAAAACTTCAAGTGAGAGAAATCCTCATGTCACAATAGTAGTAAAGGGAGTCAAATGATGAGTGTATTGCCAGGAAACCCTTATTAGCAAAAGGTTTAATAAAGTGATCATCAAAATAGCTGCACATTTATCACAGGCTCCAGAGTCACTGGAGTTCACATAACTGCAGGTTAAGGAGCTGTCTTGTCTTCACATATTGCAGCCCCAGACTTTTCTAGAAAAGTTATCCTTTCTGCTGCATTAAGTACTAGGAGTCTCATGGGGCCTTCTGCCAGACAGACTAATAATGGCTCAGAGTATGATTCTCCCCATCCGTGGTTAGAAGCTGTTAACCTCCATTGTCTGGCTATGATTATCTAAATGTCCAGTAACACCTTTTGCGCTCAAGGAAGGAACTGCACTTCCTTCTTGCTGTCAGGAATACCAGCATCCTCCCAGTCTCCCAGGCTGGCATCCTAAGCATCATCTTTGACTCCTCTCTCTCTCTGTCTCCTGTCTCTCTTTTTCTCTCTCTTTCCTTCTTTCCTTCTTTCCTTCTTTCTTTCTTTCTTTCTCTCTCTTTCTTTCTCTCTTTCTCTCTTTCTTTCTCTCTC